ATGGGCCCAGAAGCACATGTAAGAGTGCTGATTCTCCATGTGGGACATGGCCAACTTAGACTGACCAAGGTCATAAAACAATAAATTGCGACCAGGGGCACAGGTGGTTTTGTGGGTAAATTAGACACAAGTTAAGACTGAGGGCTGTGCTGAGCTGAGCTGATGAACTGGAGAATGTAGGGTGGAAGCACTGTGCCTGGGAGACGAACTGGCAAGCGTGGCTCAGCTGTGGTTTGCTGGACAAATGGCACACGGCAGCACTGGGGCTGAGAAAGGAAGACCCAGGAGCTCCTAGGTGTGGAAGCTCTGTGTACAGTGCACTTGTCACTACCTGCCTTCAATTAGATCCCAAACTTAACCTGGATCTATAGGTCAAAATTTAAATTCCTCAGCTTTGCCGTGACTCAAGCCCCCGTCTCCGCTCTCAGCTGCGTGTCTCTGCACTGTTACATAACAGGACTGCTTTTGGAGGAGCATAACACACTTATTTTCTATGCCGTATGTAGCAAGCAAGGCAGTGCACGATGTGGGGCTGAAATATCCTGCAGCCCCACTTCCTGCTAGCTTGCCTCCCTCCCCACTGATGCCCGCCCTTCCCATCCCTAAACTATTATGGGTTTTCATGCTTCTGCGCCTCTCCACAAACTGTTCCCTTTGCCCAGAATATCTTCCTGAGACTCCTCTGCTGCAAGTCTCCTTCCGCCCCCATTGCCTGCGAATGTCCTACTTGTCCTTCAGGAGAAGCTGAGACCTTCAGCTCCCACTGCTGCCTGGGACGCGGCCCCTGGGGTTTCTGCCTGGGCAGAGACTAGGTCAAGAATGACCTCATGCGTGCAGTTGTTCTCACGCATGCTTTAAACCACTTTCATTTTAGGTAGGGATAAGGAGGACATGGAGAAGCAAGGCCCCTGCACGTCAAAAGCTGTTTTCCTCAACTCTCCCATGAGTTTTTACTCTCTCCCACACAACAGCCATACTTGGAGCCAGGAAGGCCCTGAGAAGTGGCAGTACCGCACGACTATGCCAGCTTGTGCCCCGTGCAAATTTCAGGCTTGATCACTTCGACTCTTTCAGGATGGAGGTGGAAAGATCCTGGAGTCTTCAGGAAGACCTGAGTCTCCAACCCACTGTTTGAGCTCTGTGATTCTGAGATTCTTTCCCCTTCCAAGGAGTCGCTTGTGGGCAACATCTCCAGCTGACATAGATGGCTTCCAAAATAAAGTGCAGGCATGAACTGGGCCTTCAGCTCCTTTCTCCTACCTCTAAAGCTTGCTCCTAAGTTCCTTTAGAATGTGGTATGGTTTTCCACCTGTGGATCCCCATGTTCATCCACCGCCCACAAGCCCAATGACTTGTGTTTCTTCTTCAGATCTTATTTTAACTCTCACTGTCTCCGGGAAGATGTGGCAGAAGTAAGCTGCCTCTAATGTCCTCTCCCCTAATCAGTGTTTAGCTAGGCATGGGACTGTCTAGAAAAGAGACTCCACTTCTCAGATTTACTTGTAGATTGTATGACTCGGTGGCTAAATTCTGGCCAACACAATGCCATGTGAGAATGATGCAGATTTGAGAACATTGTGTAAAGAGGACTGCTGGGGGGCAACCCACTCTCCAGGTCCCCTTATGTACCTGCGCTCTTCTTCCTGCTGACCGTAACATGAAGTGATAGCTGGAGCCACAGCAACCATTTTGGTAGCAAAAAAGAGAAGCTTGGATGCCTGGGAACTTCGTGGGCTAGAGCTACTGTCAGTCCTACCTGTGAACTTCTTCACACGGGCAAAATGATCTCTGTCCTGGAGAAGTAAACTTCTATTCTGAGGCTTTCTTTTTAATCTTCACCATAAGCCTTTCCTAGTTGCTCACACCTGGGCTAGCCTGCCCTCCACTCCACAGCATTCCATAGATAGGAGGCCATCTGTTTGTGTACGTCGTTCTCCTTGCAGTTAGAGGCTCCACTGATTTCCTTGCACTTTAGTAGCTCTAGCATTTGGTTGAGAGCAGGCAGACAGTTTTTGTAGAAAAAATAGAGATATTTGTGGATTTAATACAAATTTTAACACTGTCTTTTATTGCTTTGGGGTCCAAAGAGAACAAATGGCTCTGAAGCCTGATTTCCTTCCCTTAACATCCCCCAACTGATCCTACCCCCAAGGCGGGCACCTTCTACCATGCTTCCATTTACAAGTGTTTCTGTCCTTCCAGGCTCCAAAGTCCCAGCCGCAAAATGACCGGACAGGAGGAGGGTTGTGAATCTCAACATCCTTGCTCGGTCTGAGTCTCACTCGCGCTTCTTCAATTCACTGAATCTCGCCTTCTAGCTCCCTGGGAAGTATTTTCAGGTCAATGGAACAGCATTTAAAAACTGCATGACAAAAGTCATGGAGCACTAAGGACTTTGAGCAGGCTTGATCTGGACAGAGGAGGTAGGTGGTCTAGAAGCAAGAGGCTGGTTCTCATTGTGACCCTGAGCGAAGCTGACAAAGATCAGCCAACTGCTGCATATGCTGCTCTCACACTTATTACGTGATCTGTTAGCTTTTGCATTTTATTTATACAGCACTAATAACTGGTCAGCAGCATTGTTACAGTTTTTAACTTCTGAGGAAAATGTGATTGATTTGCGGTTTTAGCTATAGCAATATAATTTATTCCCAATAACATCACTGCAATATTTGTGCCTATAATGGGTCATAAACAGCAAAGGCACTAACAGCATGGCTTTAAAACTAACATGTTCTTTTTTGGGGGGAGGAGGAGGGGGAAAGTAGTCTCCTGGACTGACACTGATTGCTGTAACTTCTACAGAACACTGCTGCGTATAAGGAGACCTAGTAGAGATTTTTCAGCAAGTCATCAACCATCCAAGTTTATTAGGTCTACCGAATGCCTATGCAGGGCTAGAGAGCTTCTGGTCCTTGAGAAGCTTGTAGTTTATTTAATGTGAGACATGGAGATGATAAAGTAAACAGAACATGGTGAGATCCAGACTGGAATTATCTGTAGTATGAAGTGGGAGCTTGGGGTAAGAATATAAAAGGGCATCAAAAGCAGACTCTGCACTGAGACAACCTGGGACACCTGCTTTAGAAAAGTTAATCCTTGGCCAGGGATATAGCTCTGTGCCTAGCACACATAAGGCCCTAGGCTTAACTCCTAGCACAAAAACAAAACAAACAAACAAACAACAACAACAACAAAAACCCCAGCAGGAAGTCGCTCCAGGACCTGTCCAATAGGTGGGCTGACACAGAGCAGAAACCCTGGGCAGTGAGACTACTCAGAAGATTTTTGCCTTCATTAGAATGACGAAGGGGCTGAAACAGGAGAGACAGAAACTGAGAAGGAACAGATGAAGGAAGCACAATTAACTGCCTGGTGGATTGTTTGAAAGAGAGGAAGGGCAGAAAGCAGAATCAAGAAGAATTCTCAGGTTAGAGACGAGGTGGAAGACAGAGAGGGGGTGTCTCTGCCACTTCTCTCATGGCTGAGACAACACAGTGCACACCTGCAAATTAAGGGAGAAGGGGTTGAGTTTTGGCTCACAGTTTATAGTTCTCAGTCCATAGTTGGCTGGCTCCGAGGCAGAATGGCATGGGAAGAAAGCAAGTGAGATCACCAAGAAGTTGGGAAAAGAGACAGACCCTTCCAGGTCATGTCCTCAGATACCTTCAGACTAGACCCATTTACCAACAGCAAGTCAAGCTATAAGCCTCCATAATCCAGTCACCTTTCACAAGTCCATCCCTGAGTCCATAAGGCCCTTGGGGAACAACCGGATATAAATCATAACATGAGGTTGCTAAGAAGCAGCCTAGTGAGTAAGTGCCTGCTTAGGCAAGCACAGGGACCAGGGTTCAATCCCCTGTAGCACATGCAGCACCCGGCCCACCTCCAGGAGCACTCAGAGAGCCAAGACCCATCATGGTGGCGCATGCCTGTAATTCCAGCGCTGAGGAGGCTGAAAACAGAAGGATCACTATGAGTCTGAGCTTCATAGTGAGACCCTGTACCAAATATTTATTTATATATCTAGATCTATGTGTAGGACCTTTAGTACTACAGACTCCAGGAATTCATATGGATGGTATATATTTTCTCAATGTTTTGTAAATTTCCAAATAAAGCATATCTATCTTCAGCACCCCTAACAATGGGATTACAGTGCCAAGATCACTCCTACATCAGTTGGAAGGTGGGCCATCCCTCTGTGTGCGTGTGTTAGGTGTGGGAGACAAAGACCAAAACTATAATCAAAGGTCAAAGTCGTGACTGGATGCAAACTAAGTTTGGAATTATGAGTACTTTAGGTTCTAGACACAATCTGGATTTTGTATTGTAACTAAGATTGTGTTAGAAAGGAGCTCATTTAATAAATGCTATTTCTGCATCTAGTGAGTGTTGGATTCTGTTTCTCTTGCTAAAAATAGGAAGGAATAAAACAGAATGGACAATAAACATGCACTTTCAGGTGATTGTAAGTACTATGAAGAAAAAGAACAAGAGAACAGAGTGATGGGAAAGGCCAGGGCAGGATGAGGAGGCTGACTTCGAATTTCTTTGACAAGATGCCTTATGAGCAGAGATCTGGAGTCAGGAAAAGTGGTTTCCCAGGTACCCATCCCTGAGACGACGAGAGAGGAGAACACGACGACAGATTAGCTCTGAGACACTAGACGTCTGAGCAGAGGTGCAAGCGGACCGGTTTAGGGAGAGGCCGGATGCAGACTGTGGGAGCTGTCAGCCCAGGTCCGAGGTCCAATGCAATTTGATCAGAGCTCGCCTCGAGCCAGGAGCTGCGTCTGCCAGGTGCGGGGCTTGGAGCTGGGGAACTGCGCTCGCCAGGCAAAGCCTCAGGTCTCGCGAGCTCCGCGAGCTGTCTGCGAGCTGGGGAAAAGCCGCGGCGGGGGGAGATCCGGCCCCCCCGACGCGAGGGACGCGCGGTGCGCATCACAAAGCGCGTCCGTCACCCGGGCCGCACCGCCGCGAGAGCCCCCGGAGGCGGGGGCGCCCACCGCGAGCTCGCGGCGCCCTCTGCCGGCCGCAGGCGGCGACACACCGGCAGCCTCACCGCTGCGCTCCCTCTCGCTGGCTCGGCCTCAGGCTTCAGTTTCTCTATCGCTAGTGTTTCCCAGAGTGTCTCAGCCTCCTACTCGCGACGCTTCCCTCCGCCTCCAAGCTGGGCGTGTCAGTGTCTCGGAGCGAAGGCTGCTAATAAAGTTTTTTTCTTGCTCCCAGAAGCCCACCCTCGTCGTAAGCATCGCGAGATCTGGTGGCGCGGCTACCATGGCGGCGGTGTTTGAACCTTCGCAGGCTTCCGAGGCCGCGGAGACCGCTATGGCGGCAGACCTGGTGGCCGCGCAGGCCTCGGACGTGGAGCCACCCGCCGAGCCCGTGCGGAGCTTGCGGACGGCGCACGACCTCGGCAGCCCCCGGGTCCGCACGGGAGACGTGCTGTTGGCGGAGCCGGCGGACTTCGAGTCGCTGCTGCTGTCCCGGCCGGTGCTGGAGGGGCTGCGGGCAGCGGGCTTCGAGAGGCCTTCGCCGGTGCAGCTCAAGGCCATCCCGCTGGGGCGTTGTGGTTTCGGTGAGGTTCGGCCCCCGAGAGAAGTCGGGAGGCCCGGGGAAGGGACACGGAGGAGCCGTCGCGGCTTGGCCGGGAGAGCCCCGGGTCTGCACCAGTGCCGGGCCAGCCTGCCCAGGCGCTGGGCGCACTGTTGAATTTGAAGACAATTAAGCCTCTTTGCAGCACTGACAACTGGTTCTGTTTTTGAGAAAATTAGCGATAGAAGTTCAGAGATCTTAGGGCCGGCGAGATACCACAGCGGACTAAGCACCTGCTTTGGTAAGCGTAGGGACCAGGGTTCGATCCCCAGTCCCGCATGACCCGTCGGCCCCGCCCCCGAGCGCGCTCAGCCGGGGTGCGGTGGTGCACGCCTGTAATCTCAGCGCTGGGGAGGCTGGAAACAGGAGGATCACTATGAGTCTGAGCTGCGCAGTGAGATTCTGTAACCAAATACATTTTTAAAAAAGTGGAGTTCAGAGACCAAACAGGCTTCTGGATATGATCGCTTGTGTGTTTTGAGGGTTGGCTGAAAGTGGAGCTGACAGCTAGGTGGTCACTGGAGATCCATGTTGGGTACCTCTAGGCTCCACCAGTGAGATGCTTACTATTGATTTACTATTATTTTTCTTTCTCAGATTTAATTGTGCAAGCTAAATCAGGCACTGGGAAAACCTGTGTCTTCTCCACCATCGCTTTGGATTCTCTTGTTCTTGAAAACTGCAGTACTCAGGTGAGTTCTGCTCAGGCAGTGCAGGGGAGGGCATGTGTTCCTTACCACCGCTTAGGGGAACAGCCCGTGGCTCCTCAGGGGCAGGGATGTGATCGACAGAATTACACCTGACAAAACAATATAAAAATACGTATTTAGGGTCGTTGTGTAGTGGTAGTGTACATGGTGACCAATACATTAGAAATGCTTGAAATTTGATTATTTACTTTGTACTGGACCTGTATTGAACCCAGGGCCTCTTCAAGCCCTTTAAAAATTTGTCTGTCTGTCTTTATTTTTTGAGACAGGGTCTTCCTGTATAGTTTAGGTTGCTTTTGAACTCATCAAGTAGCCCAGGCTAGCCTTGAACTTGTGATGGTCCTTCTGTTTCAGCCTCCCCAGTGCTGGGATTACAGGTGTGCCACCATGCCCAGCTATTTTTATTTTGTATTTTGAGACAAGGTCTTGCTAAGTCACTGAGTTGCCCAGGCTGAGCTGGAATTTTCCATACTTTAGCCTTTCAGGCTGGTGGGGGTAATAGTTCTGCACAACCTTGCCAGGCTATTGCTGCATCTTAAATAGAGTAAGTGCTGTATGTGTCAAGTTTTGTCAGTATTTCAAAAATTTATCTTACTTACTACATTGGGATGAGATAACATTTGGCTTGAATCATGGTAATGTACTCTGGCTGTGGGAGACCATTGCTTAAAGCTCTGAATATCATACTGATTTCTCACAGGTTGTCTTGGAATATTTCCAAGGTTATCTTACCAAACAGCAGGAGATTTGGATTTGGGATAAGTTCTGTAATAAACATTTATTGAGGACTGGGTATAGTGGCACTCACCTGTAATCCCAGCATCTGGAAAGTAGAGACAGGAGGATCACTGTGATTTTGCGGCCAGCCTAGGCTATGTAGTGACTTTTAAGTCCAGTCTGAACTACACAGTGAGACCCTGTTTCAAAAAACAAAACAGTTTTTTGAGCCCGTATATAAACAGTATCCTAGATATATTGGAGATTCAGTGATAAATTAGACATGGTCCTCATAATCTTATCCTGGAGTTTAGTGACATGATAGACTTTAAGTTCACAGTCAGGTATTTCTGACGATCAGCTTTGAACAATGGTTTTTATCCTGGGATACTTATATTCATTCTCTAGGAAGTGTTTTAAGTTCTATTTTGTATCTGCTAAATCAGATGATAGGGCACATAGGAAATGTTCCTACTTCATAAAGACTTCTGTAGGATACTTTTATATTAGGATATATTTGAGGGCCGTCCAGATAGCTCAGCAGATTAAAGTGCCTGCAAGCAGGCGCAGGGGCCAGGGGTTCGATCCCCAGGCCTGCCATGCAGGCCCCGCCTCCAAGGCTCGCTGAGCCAGAAATTGAGCCTGGGCGTGGTAGCGTGCGGCTGTAATCCCAGCTCTTGGGAGGCTGTGAACAGGGGGATCACTACGAGTCTCCATCTAGTAGTGAGACCCTGAACACCCTGTTGACCCTTCCCTAAAATACAAAAAACAAATAAGAATAAGTAAATAAAAAGATATATTTGAGATTTGGGCTTGTGATAATTTGGTAGCAGATCAAAGCCAAAATTCTGAAAAGATACCAAAAATAAAATTTCATATCTTAAAGATCTTTATTTAATTTAGTACAGGGTCTAAAGTGATGTACTCGTGAGTGATCTGCCTGTGTTCAGCCTCCCAAAAACTGGGATTACAGGTGTGCGTGACCACACCCAGTCTCAATTGCCAGCTCTGCGCGGGGCATTGCACGCTGGGGATAAACCTGGCCTGGGCATGAACCCTGGCATTGAGTCTGCCTAAGCAGGCACTTTAATCCGCTGAGTTGTTTGGCCAGCTCCTAGATCTTTGTATTATCAAACCGTATACCTTTTTATAGTATATGTTTGCCAAAGTAATGCAGAACCATTTTTGAAAATCGGAAAAATTCAGAAAAGTAAAAGAGAGGAGGTGTACAGAAAAAGTCTGTAATCTCATTCACCCAAAGAGAAACTGCTGTTTTGGTATTTTCTTCTAGTCTTTTTTTTTTTTTTTTTTAAAGAAAGTTTTTCTACTTTCTTTAAAAAAAAAACATCAAATTTTATCTTCTCCAACACTTATGTTGCACTTCTCACTCTGGGATTGCTCAGCCGCCTGACTTGCTGTTCCTCAGATAGACCAAACTCATTACCCCCTTAAATCTCTTCTATTTGCTGTTTCCTGTTCTGAAACCCTCCTCAGGTGTCACAGCTGCTAGTGCTGTGCTGCAGTTAGGTCTCTGCTAGAATGTTACCTCGGAGGGGCTTTTTCGATTCCCCATTTCAGATTACTTCTCTTGTT